TAGAAAATATCAGCTCTACTCATATGGTTGTGGTGAACACAACTGATATACATGCACTCCACCCATCTGCAAGCATGTAGACAAAGCAAAAACACATACGAATAAAAGTTGGTCTTTGATGAATCCTGAAAACAATCATTATTCTCCCTAGGCCGCATAAGATGATGACGGTTTGGTAGTGGAATTTTTCCAAAGTGAAATGAGTAAACGTCAGGACACCAGTCGATTTCCTTCAGCCTTGCTGCCAAAAGTTATTTATCAGTTACGTCAAAAAGAATCGAACTCCAGTTTTGGTAGTGCAAATACACGCTCTACGTGGTACCAATAGGCCACGTGAAAATGTATATCAGAGATTCTCAGGGCATACAAGAATTTCAAGGCAAGCCAGGACTCTTGCAATTCACATTATGTATTTTTCGAATTAAGTATTGTTTTCGTAACTACCAGTAAATCAGTAGTTTGAGATGTAATCACCCAATTTCGATTAAGGTGATAAAGGACTGGTAGAAGAAGAATTTTTCCACAATGATGTGAGTTGAACAATCGACTACTATACTTTATTTTTATCGAATTAAGTATTGTTGTCGTGACTACCAGTAAATCAGTAGTATGAGATGTATTCACCAAATTTCGTTTAGGCTGATGAAAGACTGGTAGAAGAAGAATTTTCCCACAATTATGTGAGTTGAACGATCGACTACTATACTTTATTTTTTTCGAATAAAGTATTGTTTTCGTGACTACCAGTAAATCAGTAGTATGAGATGTATTCGCCCAATTTCGACTAAGGCGATGAAGGACTGGTAGAAGAAGAATTTTCCCACAATGATATAAGTGGGAAAATTCTTCTTCTACTAGTCCTTCATCGCCTTAGTCGAAATTGGGTGAATACATCTCATATCACATTATGTAGCCGGATTTTCGCTGAAGTGAACATATTTTTTTCATTACAACCGGTCATATTACTTGCATTCATAGTGAATAGACAAAAGTAGATATTAACCGAGATCTGATGGCTGTTTCGAGACCTACTCAATTTTAACAATAATAATGCAGTGAAATTAAATTACTTTATGAGGCCTACTCATGTGTGAATAGAGAATCCAAACTATCAGCCGTGCATGCAGTTCATATTCAAGATCGAATGGCATTTTAGAGACTTGATCAAGTTGATTATTTTGCGGAATCTCTTGGTTTAAACTTGTAAACGGCAACAGGGAGACCTTGTTGAAGATACCCAGCCCTCCAACCTCTGGCATAGTATCCATGCTTTTCAGCATCGGTACATTCTCAGTCAATTCAGATAAAAGAGACCGCGAACAGACAAAAGGCCAAACCATTTTTGCCGTCAAATTTACGATTGAACTTGCAAAGTTCGCTTCTATTTCGAGGCATGTGGATGTAATGAAGAGCTTCAAGGATCGCTTCCAACAGAAGATGACAATGAATGTCAGTTAGCCAACTTTGTCTAACTTTACTGGGCATATGCGAATAAAAGTTGAGTTTCGAGGAATCTTTGGGTCCATAATTGTCGAGGCTACTTCCAGTTAGTGAAAGTGTTTGGTGAAAAGAGTCGAAGGTCGGTTCCACCAGAAGACGACGGCGGATTCCTCTTGATCAGCTGTCGATTGGCTTTACTGGAACATTCTTAATGTAGGCAATCTCGTTCGATTTCGATGAAGATGCGCTCAACTTTCGTTCGTCGTATAAAGAGCATCATCAGAGAAGCTGGTATTATTCTTACAACCATATTCAACCTGCCGATTGGAGCCATGATTAAAAACGAATAAAAAGAGGTTTGATGGCTATCAAGCCCCGATCACCAAGAACATATGCTACTTTTTTGTCATAATTACTTCGAACCATACATACACGAATACATGAATACACATAAACATACACAGACAAATACAAGGTTAACAACTCATTAAGTAGCTTCGATTTAGGGTATATATACAGCATTTATGGATGATACGGTGAGTTTACTCGACTCATCAACTTAAATATGGTTGTGAGAATGATATCCGCTCTGAAGATGTCCGACATTAGACAGACAGAAGCTTAGCAAGTTTCCATCTGACTCGAAGGAGGTTGCCTAAGCAACAACATTAACAAGAAGGTTCCAGCAAAACCAAGCGACTGTTTGTCGATAGGGTGGGAGTGACCTTCAAATCCCTTTATCAAACATTTTCACTCTAAATGGAGGTAAACTCAATTTCTTAACTGGACTACTCTGACGTCAACTGTCCATTTCGAAAATTCCCTTTCTGAGTTATTGAGACTTGACTTTCCATCTCGAAAGAAAACTTGGTGGGAATTAATTCGCAAATCAGTCTCACTGGAGACTGAAACTTTCGTGATCGTTGTCGGAAAAAGGGCGATGCTTCCAGAACCAATTTCGGTTAACAACTCAAGAATGAAAAGAAACAGCCAACCAAATCACATTAGACCATGAGGATTAGGTAGGATTGCAGTCGGCCATATTTATTGTCACATTTCCTGATGAGCCTTCATAGAACATGCTTTCATGACGATGCATACGAAGGCTCAGCACAGAGCCCCACTTGCGATGGACTATTTGTGGACGACTTATTCGCACAAGTAAACACACACTCAGCTCTATCGACTTTCACAAGGACCAACTTACGAGTGTCTTCCAGTCGCCTCTTCATAAGCAAAATGGAAGATAAGAGGACATTTATTTTGTAATTAGAACTTGGGTCAGGCCGCCACGTCGCTTGAGGAGATGGGTTTTTGCCACAACCAAATGAGTTTGGCTTCAAGGTACCAGTTGCTTCTCGTGAATCAACTGCACCTTCCACCTCGTCTGGCTCTCTTCTGCAGCCTCAACGAGATGGCTGGTCGGGTCGCGAGTGTCTTGGAGATGTAGCCATTCCACGATGATAAAGCTAAGCGAAAATTAATTGCACAGCATTGTGGCAAAAGCTAAGCTATCAATTCTTAATTCACCTCAAGTAGCCTAAAATGAATAAGTCATTGGTCAAGAATAACTGAGTCTCAATGTGTCCGTCTTGTCCCCGCCTAGTCACGCAGGTTCATAATGCGAAAGTAAAAGGGTTGATGACCCAAATGTCCCGATGCATGAAGACGGCTTCTCCCGTCCCTGACTATCATAAAGATCAAGTTCTACTCGTAGACTACTTAAATGAAAAAAAGCGGAATATAATCCGAAATTAAGAAGGTTGTTTTCCTTAATGTCGCGATAAATGAAGCTAGCTTTATTCATTCATATACTTCGAGAAAGCCATATTTTTTTTAGCAAACTGCCTGTATTGTCATGCTACAAAAATCTAAATCCTCTCTCTGATTCTGCCAAGCGACAAAATAGTCATTACGAGGAAGTTGGCTTTCTATGACCTTAACTGTTTCCTTATGTTGGGCTTGTTTCCATTTGCAGTGAAGGTGCTTCTTCAAAAGAGTGGGCTATGAACTTCAACTCAAAGTCAAGTCTGGGCCTAAATTCTTCCGATTTTTTTTTAGCAATAGGTCTTTTCGAATTCCCGGTATCTGAGACCAGCCTCAACGAGATTGTCGGTCGTGTCGCGAGTATCTTGACGATGTAACAATTCCACGATGATAAGGCTAAAAGAAAATTAATCGCACAGCATTGTGGCAAAAGCCTAACAATCAATTCTTAATTCACCTCAAGTAGCCCAGAATGAATAAGTCATTATTCAAGAATAACTGAGTCTCAATGTGTCCGTCTTGTCCCCGCCTAGTCACGCAGGTTCATAAGACCCTTAACTACAAACAAAACCCTTTCATTTTCTTCGATGAGGTGTATTCATCCTATTTTGTTCAGGCTGATTAGGCGACCGGTAGTTGAATTTTCCCACAATAAAATGAGTAGACATAACGTTTTCATTAAATTTCTCATAAACTTTGGGAAAATTCAATGGAAACCTTATGTCTACTCATACGATTGTGGAACATTTCATCGTAAACGAAATAGGATGAATAGACCTCATATTGCAGCACATTCTTACGACCTATTCTTGTTTTAGGGAATTACTTTTCGTTCCATCATAAACTGATTCAAGTAACGCCGTCACCTTGCGTCCCGGCTCACTTGATATTCACTATTTTTTAATATTCACCTAAAATTAATAAAGTATTTTAAAGACGAAGAAGACGTGAACTTCAAAGAACCTCTTAAGATTCATTATTCAATCTCACCAGAAGACAACGTCTGATGCACTTTATTCTGAGGCAGTTCGGCCTTATTACTTCCTTCTGGTTGACGAAGTCCACAATGCATCTTTTCTCGTTTGGATGCAAAGGGGTTGAGCTCTCGTTCGTAATATTGCGAGCAGCATCAGAGCCGGTACTAACTCTTGGGAAAGTCTAAAGCTAACATTAATTCGAGAAGACCGGCCGGCTTTATCCTACACAATATAAATACTCATAAATAACAAATATTTATACATAGATGCATATATAATGATTTGAATAATTCGCTTGAAATGTACCCGTGTGTGTATGTGTGTGTGTGTGGATGTGGATGTGTGTTAATGTCTGTACTCATAACTGACCATAATCAAAAGTAATTAGAAAAAAGTCCAACATTAACCCTGATTAATTAAGGTTTAATGGCACAAGTAGAAGCATGACGAGATTGCATAATTTCGTACGTCTGTTTTGGAAGATTAACTCAAAAGGCATTTTGAAAAGGTGTGAATTCAGTTAGAACCATCACTCAGCTGTGAAAGTGGATCGACTT